TTTAAGGCAAAAACAATTAAACATTTACTAACCTAGACAAAATGATATGAGAAATAGCGCAAGGTAAATATACTCTCATCTCCTATATACAAAACATCATATTTTTTCCTCTATTTTTGACCGTAATAAATTCTAAATATATTTTAAAGAATAATAATTATTCATTCAGATATTTATTTAATTTTTTCACTCATTTCATTTATATTAAATTCCATTCTATGCAACACAAAATATTAAGTCATTTAATAAACAACTTATAAATTATGCGAAAACAGACTAATGAAACTCTAGTTCTGGATTTAAAAACACGCGCACTTATAAATTATGCGGAAACACACTAATGAAACTCTAGCAACCTTGCGGGTAGTCTCAGTCGTACGTCTGAAGAATGGGCTTCGTGTTTTGGGGTTGCGGCGTGGCGCCTTTGGAGATGGCAGAACGTGAAGTTATTCGAAGGGTCGGATGTTCTCGTGCCTCGGCGTGTTGCTGAGGTGTTTTCCTTCGTGGATATGGGGCGGCGCGCCGCTGCCGGAATTCAGAAGGTGGGAATGCCGAGGAGTCGTGTTTTATGGTGGATTTCTTGGCAATGTCCGCCTGAGGCGGTGATCAAAGTTAACAATGACGGTAGTTTCAATCCGTCTACCGGGATGGCCAGTGCGGGCGGGGTGCTCAGAAATCATTATGGGAATTGGGTTCAAGGGTTCCTTATGAACATCGGGTTTTGTTCGATTGTAGGCGCTGAGCTATGTGGCCTATTCCAGGGATTGTCTTTAGCGTGGGATATTGGCGCACGACGGGTTCTGGCGGAGGTTGATAATCAAAGTATCCTGGAGATGGTTCAGAGGGACGATGCTATCGGGCCTCATGGGGGTCTAGTTCGGGGGATCCAAGAGTTGCTTCGTCGCTCGTGGGAGATTGAGATCCGTCATAGTTACCGGGAAGCCAATATGGTGGCTGATTTTTTGGCGTCGTTGGCAGCAATGGGCCCGGGTGGACTACATCGCTTGGACCAGCCTCCGCCGGGGACTGACGTTTGGTTACATCATGATAGACTCGGCGTGTCTCATTACCGATCGATTCTTCCCTAGGCTACTATAGCCTCCTTTATGGCACTAAAAAAAAAACATGCGCACTTAAATAACCTAGTACTCTTTTGCTCGTGCACATGCATGGGTTAGATCAATTTAATTACATTAAACATGAAATAAAATTAAGTTAAACAATATAAATAAAAATTAAAATTAAGTATTGTGTATAACGAAAATTTAGTAGACGGTATATTAAAATTTTAATATGAATTAGAAAAATTAATTAAATAATTATATAGTTTGAAAATGATAATAATAATTCACTCTCTTCTCCTGATTGGCTAACTAGAGTGTGGAGTAGAATGTAAATGAACCACATTCTTCTCTACATTGTAAACATTAATTATGTCCACATCATCACAATATTTGTGATCACATTCTACATTAGAGGATAGAAAATTGTGATATTAATAAATGTGTTAATGTGGAATGTAATTTACACTACAACATTGAGCATTGGAGATGCTCTAAGGGAGTTGTATAAATACCCTACTTGAAGATCGAATCAAGGCCGCTGACACTCTCGCACATTGAGCAATATTCAAGCTTCAAGTCTTTTGTTTTGC